TTATAGAATTCGGTTCACTGAGCTATTACTATAGAATACTATAGAAACGACACTCTCCCGAAATCCTTTGTTCTGCCTGAATCAATTTGATAAGGTGCATAACTTCATGTTCTCCCGCTGTGTTCACAACATCAACCATAGAATATTATCAAACCTATCTATATAATTTCCCGCCATTCAAAATAATTTGAATAACTTTAGTTTGTCTATTCAATGGGATATCAAGAAAAGAAAGTACAATACAATATTTACATTATAAAATATATTTTTATTAACTAATGGCCTTTACTGTCAATGTTATTTTGATCAATAAAAAAAATATATATATATATATACATTTTTAAGGACCATTTTAATGTGTAATTATTTTTTGTTGATTAAAAACATGCAAGTGATAAGTGATATCCGCAGTTTGCAGTGATAATAGAGCAACCGACTGTTTATAACTTCATGTTCTCCCGCTATGCTTACAACATCAATCAGTCCGCTGCCAAAATGAAAAAAAGTGAAGTGGTGGGGGGAGTGTCGTTTCTATAGTATTCTATGCTATTACGATAGTGACAGACAGCATTGCCAACAAACAACTATATTTTTTCCCGTCCGGAACACATTGACGTCCACCACTGCCAACCATTCAGCGTCGTTGTTACTTAGTGAAGTTCTTTGATATTTCTAGTTGTATCATTGCCTTGACGTCTGCTTATCTGTGCCGGTGCTAAACGCCTGACCACATTGAATTACTACCGCCGAAGCTATCGTAGTATCGTCATTTGTCCGTCGTCGTTGTTCCAGTTTTCGAGCACTTTATTTTCCGCGGATCCCGTCGTGTGGTTGATTAGTTATTCCAGACGCTGAGCACTGATTTCCACTAGTTTCATTCGGAAACCTTCATTATGTCTTCCAGGTTAGTAACAACTAATATTTAAGCACATGCACCAACCTTTCGTTGTATTTTTACACGTGGTTTTCATTGTTTACACTCGTTGTTCCCAATTTACAATATCGTCGAGACAGCGCGTGGACGGCTGTGACCTGTGTAGATTTTCACGATATCAAACAAAACCATTAAAAAACGTATCTCATACACCACCGCCATTGTCCATATTTTACTTTGGTTACAGAAAAATTTGAAAATAATAAATCACGAAACCATTTGGGGGATTATACGATGAACTATAATGGAATTCCGATCGCGAACCTCTCAATTTTCTATTGTCTACCTAATTTTCATGTAGCCAGTAGCAGAATTGAGTATTTGAGAATACGCATACGTTGCGGCCACCAACCTGTTAGAGCGCGTCCGTGTCCAGCCGGTTGTATTCCTTACCGCCCGCTTGCGTCGGTTTTCAGAATTTCAACTTATACGCGTACTCGTTTGTGTGAACCATAGATAATAGAAGAATGGATCGGCCATGCAAGCTTATCAGACGGGAATTAATTAGAAAAATATTTTGAGATTATAAAAGGCAATAGACAGATAATTTAATGCTATCAGTTTATCACAGAACAAAACATTGATAATATAGATAATTTAGATATGATCTATGAAAAAGACAAAGAATGTTATCTATTTTAATTTTTATATTTGGACATAACCTAACAAAATCGCCACTTGCGGGAGTGAGAAACTGCCTTCTCCCTCATACTTAAAAGACCGCGACCACTTGCGTTGTGTGATTTAACATGGCCTATCCATTCTTCTATTATCTATGGTGTGAACACTCAACTGTGAGGATCGACCAATTAGTAGGTACACGAACGATCTTCGCTATTAACTTTGATTATATCAGACAAACTGTGATAACCATCATGTAGGATTTCACTCATGGTGGAATTATAAGAAAACCATATAGATATATGTAAGTGTTAAATTAGTTTAAGTATACAAAGACATGTATTATTTATATATAAAAAAAAAATTAAAATTATTTATTTAATTATTTATTTAATATTGTTAAATTGTACCATGTAATGTTAATATTGTTAAATTGTACCATGTAATTTTGAAATGTTATAATTAATTAATGAATAGAATAATATAGGTATATGTAAAAAAAAAAAACATGTGTTAACACTCATGTTATAATAGACCAGTGAAAGGTTAACTATTAGAGGTTAGTAATGACAAGAATGTTTAAGTAAAAACAATGTCAAATAATAATAATGTAATGAAACGTTTTTCTGTCATCTTTTAAGTAACATAGTCTTAATTTCATAATTCTAATAATGAAATATTTAACAAGAACATTAAGATAATAAAACAGAAACAAACAAAAAAAATTATTTTTTGAAAAACATTTATTACTTTTGTTTGTCTTTCAAACGACTATTCGCGATTACGTTGGAATGCGTTCCCATAGATCTGCTGCTAGTTTAATACTCAATTAATTATAAGCATTATTCGTTTTCGTGTTCCCCATTAGTCATTACCATATAATATAGTGTGTCACTGCCATTTTTATTATTGATGTCCCTATGATTTCAACTTTTATTTGAAATAATGTTCATTGGTTCAATTGGTGAAGTGTATAAAAAACATAGTTATAACAATATACATGATGTTTTTTGGTGTCATATGCAGCCAACATTTTAAATAAATGATACATCTATTTTGATATATTATGATATATTAATGTACCATTATTACATATTAATAACATATTAATGTATTTTGATTCCAGAGGAAAAGATGTTGTTGAAAACAACATAGAATCTGGTTCTGAAGCCGAAGAGCAAGGAGAGGAATATTCAGTAGAAAAAATGTATGGCAAAGAGTTCATTAGAGACTTCGAGGAAAAACTGAAACAAAAAGAAATGAAGGAGAAAATAAAGAAGGATCAACGTGAGCGTGGCCGTAAACGTGTACTTTCCAATTCCACTGTTACTAGTTGTGCATCATCAGAAGCTGGACCGTCTGGTGGTCCATCAAAAGCACTTCGGAAGACTTCTTCTCCTCAACCAAAGAAAAAGGCTGAAAAGACTAATAAGTCTGACAAGACTGACGAGTCTGACTCGACCGAAGATGATGATGATGATGATGATGATATAGAAGATATAACAGAAGAAAAGGAAAATAGTGATGTTTCTGTAGCATCATCAGCAGAGGAAGTGCCAGAAAAAATTATTGGTGCAACGGATTCCAGTGGCTCATTGATGTTTTTACTGAAATGGAAGGGGAAAAAAGAAGCCAATTTAATATTGGCTAAAGAAGCTAATAAAATATGCCCTCAAATTGTTATCGGTTTCTATGAAGAAAGACTCACACATTATCGCCCTGAAAATAAAAAGCGTTAAACTAATGTGTTAGACTAATTGTAATATGGATAAGGATGACAAGTGTTCAAAAAAGAACTTTTATTTTTTGATTATGTTATGCCTTACAAATTAAAGTATCAGTTTATCAATTATAAAATACTTCAATGTTAGTAACTAAATATAATTTCATAAAACGGCATTTTTTTTTCTATTTCAGATTGGTAAAATTTATTAATGGTTATCTTAAAATTTATTTTTATCCGTTTATGTTAGTAATTAACTTATTAATTTTGAAATTTTTCATTATTTATTTGTTTAAATTATTTTGTAATAGTGGAATATTTGATCATAGAGGCAAAAATAATATGTTAATTTAAGTTAATTTAGCTAGTATTTATTTGTTTAAATGTTGGGTTTAAACATTCAATACTTGTTTTTAAAAATTAAAGCTTTTTCACTATTATATTGTTTTTTTTTTTTTTTTATAACTTTTAATGATAAGTTAGAACAATGTTATATTTTCAAGAATTCCCATTTAAAATCTTCTATTTTATTTTAATATAGCCATCTACAATCTACCTATGTTAATTGATTTTACTTTATTAAGTTGAACAATTCTATACACATTTAAATAAATATGTGTAAACAATAGTTTATGTTGTTGCCACTAATAAAGTGTTTTTTATTTATACAGATTACAGTTAAATCTTGAACGGAATAAAAATGTAAATAACTGTATTTTTCAAGTTATAAGGCTCAAATACAATTGAAAAACACTTCAAGGGTCACAGAGTATTTGAGATATTGAGAAATGAGAATACTGTATCAAAGAAAATCTTGCAGAATTATTTATTTCATTATGAGCACTTAAATTTATATTTTAAAAGTTCATTGAATAGACTGTTAAAATAACTGTGTACTAGTTATAGTAAAGTATATAGGTATAGTATTCAATTTACGTTAAGGAACCTCTGCGGTTTATATAGGTAATAGTTAGAAGTAGCACTACTATATTATGTTGTTGTACCGACTGACAACTGATATACTGTATAGTATACGTACAGAAAGCAGCCATCAATCGTCCAAACGTTTCCCGCCTTTTTTTAAATTTAAACACTTCAGCTAGGGGCATTATACACTAATTTTTTATCTTATAACCTTATTATAGTTAGTGTTGTAAAGTATTTGAGCACTAGTATTCAAATACTTTTACAAGTATTGAATAAGTACATATTTTAAATACTGTTTATCAAAAAGTATTTAAGTGTACTTTATTCTATTGAACACTTTCCAATAAAATACTTTTTTTCCAATTAAAACTATTTGGAATATATTATTAACTTAAAATGTATAAATTATTATGATAAAATAATTTTTTTGATAAACATTAAATTGACATAATTGATGTAAGTATATATGTTATTATGTTTATAATTTGCGGGGGCTAAAATACTGTGTTCCCTGACACACTTTGTGTCCTCTGAAAATCAAAGCATGTCCAATGAATGAAAAATGTATGTCCTAAGTTATATAACGTGTTTTTAGTTTTGTAGTAATATCAAACATTAATCATTTACTATTTTAATTTACTAGATACCTATTCTGCTAACTTAAGTTAATTTTTTTTTATTTTTAAATTATAGACAAGTTTGTTATAAAAAAAGATCAAATGATAATGGGTCAATACAAAGTAAGTAGGGAAATGCAATATTGTTTACTGTAACCTACTGAAAAGTTAACTAGTGCATTTTAATGTATAGCATATTGTCATAATATTATATAATAAGGTATACTATACCATATTATAAATATATATTGTTATTTATTTTAAGTCTAAAATATGTTAAAATATTAAAAAAATAAAACTGAGTATTATAATCATAAATTAGATTTTAAAGAATTATATAGTTGTTAAATTATTTAATAAATATAACTAAAAGGATCTTTATACATAAATACATAATAATATACATATAATATTATATTATAGCAGACTAGTCAACTAACAAGCCCAATATTATTTTCTATACATAATCAAATTTGTTTTTTAAAATACCTTGAATTTTCTTATAAACCAACTATTTCTTTACATAAATTATATTCTAATTGATGATGATAACCTACTAATATATTTAAATATTTTCCAATTTACTACACACATAGGCTTTTACTGCTTTTAGTAGTTTAAAATAATTGTAAAAGTTACCTCAATAATTCACTTACAGGGTAAGTGGTATATAAAAGTAGTTTTGGGTATTATATACTCCAAAGGTTTTTTTTTATATTGAAATCTATCAAAAACCAAAAATAACAGTTAAATTTATAAATGTGTCCCCTGAAATCAGATGTATTTTAGGCCCTGATAATTTGATAATGTGTTCACCAATATAATGTGTTGTTCTTTATTCTTATTATAAATTTGATACCTATAATAGGTTTTCAAAACATTGGTTATAAGTAGGCTTGGATTTTTATGTTTTAATATGTTTTTATTGAAAGTATGCAACTCCAATTGGATAATATTTCTTGACGATTAAGTTTCCAATAAACTGATGTATAATTTTCAGCACATAAAATCATATTCAATGTAAAACAATATTTTGTACAAAATGTTATGTTTTAGAAATATATTGAAGTTCATTATTTGAAAATTTCACAAAAAAATTTATTTATTAAAATCATTTTATTACATTTTTGAATACATAAGGTAGGTAGATTTGTAGGTATAAATTGAGTATTAGACCATCTACACAAACAGTATTGAAAGTGTAACAAAGTGGAAGGTACTTACTTTTCAATAAAGTAATGATGAAAGTATTCTGAATTATATTTCAGAAAAGTTAATTAATATTGAACAATGTCAACACATAAACTAATGCATTAAGTATAAATATTTGGATGGCGTCCATAATCAATGATAACAGCCAGGAAATAGAAAACGTTCACCGAGTTGGCCACTCTCTTAAATATCAAGGCTCTCTAGTATAAGCCATAGGCGGCACTTGTGGGGGGGGGGGGAATTTGCCACCACAACATTTTTTTGGGGGGTGGCAAACGTATACCTTTGCTTTTGCCCCTCAAAAAAAGTTAATAAAATCTGAAGATTTGTCAAATGAGATTAAAATACTCAATAGACTATATTTATGGACCAATAGGCTATGATTCAATTACAAAAATAATAAATTATGTAAAAACTAAAAATATACAGACCGGAATATCAATGTGCACGGTCTCAAATAAGATCTTGAGTACCTACTGTGTATGTATTATATTAAATTATTACAAAATATAGACCTTCTCTATTATATCCAATATTGTGTATTACTAAGTATGATTTATTTAGTGGCAATCGTGTTTTTAATTCGAAATAAATTTATAATTTTATCGGTCCACCCTAGTACAAGAAAAACTTTAGAAATTACTCTACAGAAGTCGATTACTTTTTACGATTATTTTTGTCGAGGTCATTGTTTGCAGAGTGTACTTGGGACTGAGGAGGCGGTGTGGTGTTATATAAATGGAAAAACTAAAGGGTATATAATATGTAGTATGTGTTTGTTATAACGCCCCGCAGAACCGTGTTTTTTCGCCACTATATAAAAGCGACTCCGTTATGTGTGACACTGCGGCCGCGGCGGTCTCGGTAAACGTTATAGTGAAACTCCGTGTAGACTTGGACTATATATGTTTATCTAAGTGCACCCTAGCAGTGCCGGATCTTGAACTCTGGGGGCCCCGGTGCAAATTAAAATTATGGGGCCCCCTTAAAAAAACAATTTGCAGTACAATACTATACCTTTAAATTCTACTACAAATAAAATTGCATTATAAATGTATGGCCTAATTTTAACGTCATATAGATATAGGTAATATAATATTTAAATGTAATCTTAAATAATAATTTATTTATTTAACATAATTTTTAATTATTACATAGTAATATTATAAAACTAATATTCATGAAACATGTATATTTTTTTTTACAAATAGTATATTAGATCTATAGAATCAATTTTTAATTTGTGAAACAACAAAATAATGTAAATTTGAAAACATTCTATATTAAGAGGACGCTACACCCGCATGTGTTGTCTCCGTCTTACAAATGTACAACATAGCAAAAACTGTTTTGCGCGGGAAAGAACCGAGAAGGCTACAGTCATAACTAAGAAACGAAATTTTCACCACACAAAAAGGAGAACTTTGGCTGTGCAACGTCGTTTTTATTTTTTTGATATCATTTATATGAAAAAAGTTCTTACTGTTTCAAAAACCATTATTGTTTGTGTTTTTCAAACTTAAAAAACTTTTTTCATATAAATGATATCAAAAAAATAAAAACGACGTTGCACAGCCAAAGTTCTCCTTTTTGTGTGGTGAAAATGTTGTTTCTTAGTTATGACTGTAGCCTTCTCGGTTCTTTCCCGCGCAAAACAGTTTTTGCTATGTTGTACATTTGTAAGACGGAGACAACACATGCGGGTGTAGCGTCCTCTTAAAAAATTTTTTTTCCTTGATTTCGAGTTGGCAAAATTATCAATAATCTTCTCAATTTTTAGAGTTTTTTTTCGCTCTTTTTCTATATTTAAAATTGCTATACCAGATAAACGTTCTTGTCCGCATGAGTTTCTCAAGTAATTCTTTATTAGTTTTAGTTTCGAAAAAGAACGTTCTGCTCCTGCTACAGTAATTGGCATTGTCAGAAAAATTATGCAAGCACTTAAAACATCTGGAAAATTACTTGATAAATCATTATTTATAATAAAACTACGTAAATGTTTAATTGTATTTAATTTTTCATATTTTATAAATGATTTTAAAGATAACATTTGTCGCGGGAAGTCAGAATTTATATCGTCTTTATATGTTAAACAAAAATCATATGATGCTTTCATAATATTTTCATCGGTTTGTGTTGAAAGAATAATAGGGTTTAAAAAATTGAAATCCTATTTTACATCATGTATACCATGGAACCTACTAATTAGTTGAGACAAAACTGTATCCAACACAGGGAAAAATATTTTAACTTTAAAGTT